CTATTTTGTTATTTACAGGCATAAAAAGTATTAAAGATTACGGCTATTTACATTTGAGAAAAAAATAATTATTAATGAATACAATTACAATTTAGTAAATATTTACAATTAATACAAAATACATCTTCGATATGGTTAGTAAGGTTAAGCTTGTTAAGAAAGATTTTACAATTTTTTTGTTTGGCGTTAGTATATGAAGAGCAAGATGGCGAAGCACTGAGCAAGTTGCATACAATCGCTATCTAAACAATTAAAAAGAATGGAAGCACTGTACAGAAATGTTCGTTTATTTACAAATTAGCAAAATATATTGCTAAGTGTAGCCTATTATATCGCCAACGACTGCACTAATATAAGCTGCATTTCGCAATATATTTCGCTAAACTTGTGATTATTTTCGTTAAATTTATAACTTCACTGCAGTTTTAATTTAAATTCAGCCCTTTAGTGGGCTGCTATGGCAGTATTTCTAGACAATAGCATTTCGATTCCGATGGAATTAAGTTTGATAGTTTAGATAAATATGGAGCGCACAACATATGCCTACAGTCGTTTAGTTTTGATCGAGTACCGACCGAAAATGAGTACAGCCTTAAGTTTTGGTCGAGTTCGCTTTTATTATAGAAAGCGTACAGCCGTTTGCTCGTTTACTTTTGATCGAGTATGCTCAAAAGCGTACAATCGTATACTTTTGATCGAGTACAATAAAAGCATACATTCACAAATACTTGATCGAGTACGCATATTAAAATCCACTGTTATTATACTTTTTGTATATAGAGTACAGTCCTCAGAGAGTAAACAAAGTAACAACACGAAGAGCAGGAAGTCGAATAAGCCATTTAACGCCAATAAGATAATTACAATTAATCACATGCGTCCACGATTTGTTTCAATTGGTCAGAATTAAGAGTGGCCGTGTGGGAGACTAAGTCTTGCGCGAAAAAACAACCGAAGCTATGACTCGAGCTGAGCTCGAGTAATTATATAGGAACGTATGAATTTGTTGGGAAAAAATAAACAGATGTAACTAAACGCTTAACTTAAAATTTTTTTATTGTAACTATAATCTTAATATGTATTTTTAATAAAAGATACGTCTGAGGGAAAAAAATCAAATCGCAAGCTCCTCCAGGTTCGATTCTTGGCAATAATTGGACTGTCGCTTGTATTCGTTGTCCGATCGATATACAAAACCTTTCACCATACTTTCATATTTATACGCCGAAGTGCTTTAGAATTATTATAGATTCGGAAATTTCGAATCATTTTAGATTCGTTTCTTTGATG